AGTCAGATAGAGTAATGACTCGCTCCTCATGATATTGGCCAATGTAGGGGTCCTCCTTATCATGAATTACCAAAGCTTGGCGCCAGCCATCGGGGTACTGTCCCTTAGTGTGGGAATGATACCAATATGTACCGGATTGATCAAGCTTGCATCACAGTTAGCGTTTATCAAATGCATCAGACTCGACGGTACTTACTGTGAAGTTGTACACCATGGTCTCATTCGGGGGAATGCTACATTGAGTGACTCCAGGAGGGCCATCCATTTCATTCGTGCCATTTTGGAAGAAGCCATGAAAATGAACACTGGTAGATTCGTTGCCAAGCTGATTTCTCACATTGGCAATAACCCTGTCGCCCTTGGTAAAGTTCAAGAGAGGGAGTGGCCATTCGCCATTGATCCCAATCACAGGACGAGGTTGCATTCCATCAGGATTTGCCGTTACCCATGTTATATTCCAATTGAAGACGTGTGTCTCTGCACAGGCGATGGCGCTGAGGGCCGAAAGTGACAGAAGGGACAGGAGATTCATCCTTCCGTCCACAAAACGAGAATCTCAACTAGTTCGCTGTTGATGAGGAAATTAAGTGATCAGTAGAGACCCAAATTGGATTTCACATGGGCAGCCTCTTAAATAAGTCAAGGGCAACAGAAGAAACATGTCTATGAACCCATGGCTGATATCGTGTACCGCGTCCATGTAATTTCAATACATGGCAGTGGTATTACGGGATATTTCAGGGTGGAGCTCCTGGAGATGCACTTGGTGCACACACTGTCCTACAAACGGTTATCTGATCCGAGATTTAGACCCTTGGCAGCAGCTATTATCCTCCTCAAGGTTCCATTCTGAGTTGCAGGAGGAATTTATATCACACTTAGCGGGCTGGCGGGTTTCGCCGCCACGATCCACCGGAAAGACAAGAGAAAGAGTTCTCATTACGCGTTGACCTTGTGATCCTGGACTTGCACGGGTGGGGGATTCGACCTACTGTCGCAATAATATCGGATGATTGATTGCCGGGTTGGACTCCGTGAACGATAGTACGCGAGACCTTCCAGAGTCGGTCTATTTAGGCCAAACGGAAAATATATAAGTCAGACGAGTCTGTTTCCCCAGTTAAACACACGGCCAGAACTCGATAGGTCTTCAGACTCGAAGTCAAGATGGCGAATCAAGTCTTTGCAGTCACCGGTAACTCTCATCAATGCTTCCTGAGTTCTGCTTCTGTATAAGGCGAGTGTTGCTGACTATGCATAGTGTTTTTCATTTGCTTCCGAGAATGTCTCGAAAGTAGCATCATTGTATCGGTGCTCCTTGCCTTTCTGACCCAAACCTTGGGTGCTGAAGCAGACAAGGTAGCTCTGAAGCGATTGCGAATACAGGTAATTGTCCTTCTCCTTTTCCTTTGTACATATCTTTACCATGAACATTGTTAGGCATAATAAGCTACTAACAATACCAGGTATGGTGTGGAGTAGGTCTAGGTCTATTCTTGTGTCTATGCATCGGTGCAGGCATGATCGGCGCCTTTTACGGGTTGGAAAAAGACACCTTCACGAACACAGAGGATATCTGGGAAGGCATCTTTGGGTTTATAGCATCCATCATCATTTCCATCATGGGGGCGGGACTTCTGCGTGTGAACAAAATGCGCGAGAAATGGCGCGTCAAGCTCTCCCGCGCCTTGGAGAAAAAGGAAAAGTCTACGACCATGATGGGTCGTCTGAAGGACTGGTCCGAGAAGTATGTCATGTTCATCTTACCATTCGTTACTGTTCTTCGAGAGGGACTGGAGGCTATTGTTTATGTCGGTGGGGTGGGACTGGGACTACCAGCGTCTTCATTCCCCTTGGCCGTGTTTTGCGGTTTGCTGGCTGGCGTTGCAGTAGGTTATGTGATGTATCGGTAAGTCTTGTGCATTACATCCTGTCCACCCCAAGAATCATAAGCTACGCAGTATCATTTGACGGCGGCTAACAAATCTTGCTGCAGAGGTGGAAGCTCAACTTCCCTACAGTACTTCCTGATTATATCCACTTGCTTCCTCTACTTGGTCGCGGCAGGCTTGTTTTCCCGCGCTGTCTGGTACCTGGAGAACAATACCTGGAACCATGTCATCGGCGGAGATGCTTCAGAGACAGGCTCAGGCCCTGGATCTTACGATATTCGCCAGAGTGTCTGGCATGTGAACTGCTGTAACCCAGAGCTTGGCGGTGGTGGTGGTTGGGGTATCTTCAACGCTCTGTTTGGATGGACCAATTCCGCTACCTATGGATCAGTGCTATCCTATAACCTTTACTGGGTGGTGATTATCATCTCATACGTCTGCATGAGGTATAATGAGAAGCACGGCTACATTCCTATTTTGACGCCGATTGCAAGGAAGCTGAAGCTTGGTCGATTCAAGAAGGGCTCTGAGGATGGACATGTGTCTGAAGTTGTTGAAGAGAGGAAAGAGGTGAACCACCTGGCCCCTCAGGTTATTACCAGAGCAATGAGCGAAGCATAGTATGGGGAGGTGGCTGAAGCATTGGACCCATCCAGTGATAGTGCCTCCCTAGGCTCATCCTTTGGGGTTCACTATCTATGAGCCCCTCTGCCACTCTTTACTGGATATTGTGACTGGAACGTGGTTTGATTTGGATTCAATCGTGACGCCTAAGGGAAGGGCATACTACAATACAAAGGGCATGGACAAGAGGAACGAATGTGGACTACGGTTGTTTAAGGAGTATGAACATTGGCAAAGATATTTATCTGGCAATATTGCATTCCATTGACAGGTGAACTCGAACTGTCATCAAGGACGATGAATACATTGTAATAGCCACCAAGCGTAAATTAATTAACATCCACTATAGCCAGAACATCTTACTCAAGTCCCACAGGCACCGTGAGTATCCATATGTCTGTACAAATCCATACCTCGATCATGTAGTGTCCCACAAGTACTCAGGATTTTCCGATGAAAGGGGAATACAAGTACGGAACGTGAGCCCATGGAATGTAGTCAGAGTTAAATGCCAAGCTTCAAGTTGAAAGAGGTGCCAATAGGACAGCCATGGGTTGCAGAGTCGTCATTTGACTTGTGGTAAACATAGCGGCAATTGGAGTCGCCCCGAAGACAGACAAAAGCGTGGGGACAGTCCTTCGTATTTGAGGGCATAAGGATGAGGCCCTTGGCGTAGAACGGCGAGCCAGGCTTGGTGTTCACACATGACACGTTCCAGAAGATCTTCTCACCAGCCTGGGTGTACTCGAACTGAATTATATCGCCATCAACGTTCTGGTCTGTGCTGACCTTGATGGAAATGCCGCCGCCCTTGGGATTTAGACGATATGTCTCTTGGTACGAGGCGCCTGGAACGACTGCGTGCATTGGACCTTGTGTGGCATCCACGGACCATAAATAGAGAGTGGTGCCCATGTTGTTGACTATGGCCACATTTCCAAGACTGATTGCTGAGCCATGCTCCTCGATGGATTCAGAGGATACAACGGAGAGCAAAGCCAGGATAAAGAGAATGAAGTTGGTGAGGGACATCATTTTGGTTTGAGGTAGAAAAGAGCAATGGTTTATGATCCAGGCCGAGATCTCTCTGACATTGTTGCAGGGCAAGCATCTGAGTGAGGCCCTCGTGAGAGCCTACAGCACTTTTATATAGCACCTGGTGACCTTGATATGTGCATTATTCGATGTATTCCCAAGGACAGAGAGAGTGAATACATATATTCAATTATCTGAAAACCATCCTATTAAGCATGGCCCTTTGGCAATTTGATCGAATGGCATTGAGGTACATTCTCTGGGCATCAAATATGGTATTCCTTCTTTGTTCGTCGGGGTCTAGATCGCATGCCCGCCTTTTATTCACTTAATTATCGGCTATAGAATATTGATATCCATTCACTTTATATCACTGCAAGTATCCCGAAAGAATGGACAGACAATTCATATTAACCGTCCTCTAGTGACACTTGAGACACAGAATTAAAGGCAGCTTCGCTTATAATATCCTGTCTGGTACAATTGACACTGCGGAAGGCTTCACTACAGGGATAGTAGTATACTTCCTGTCACTTCAGTTAGAGATAGTAAGTTGCACTGATTATTCAACCCTTTCCATGGCACACATCACACAGCTAAGCGTAATACATTGGCTACTCTAGGAATGGCTAATCTGGAAGGAGCATGAAGGGAACGATATATAGTCCCATACGTAGAGAACTGAGTCTCAGTTGGTTCTGTGTATCGGAAGGTTCTATTCTCTACTAAAGAAGCAACATACTGGTGAGGTTTATCGCTTGGTCAGGAACTTGAAGGGCTAATATATATAAATTCCCATCAATCAGACCATCTAATATAAATATCATTTTATTTCCCAAAAGCCATGACAAGGGGTGAAATATATAGCTTCACGAAAAGGGAGTATGATCGGTCCAGGTTGACACTGTCAGCTCTTAAGAAGCCGAGGCTATGTGATTAGGTTTTTGTTTTTTTTTTTTTTTTTTTTTTTTTCTTTCGCGACTAAAGCGTTACATACGAGGTGGTCAGTGCGTGCAAAACTCGGAAGAAAATCCCCGACTCATTTCGGGGTGCAAAGGCGTGCTATTTCATCTTCCCTATATCTGTATATATTCTTGACCCAGTCAACTCGTATATACTTATGGTTTATGTTATTATCACATGGAATTAGGTGCTCGAGAAACGCGGCGTCACAGTAATAACGCGCAATCTGTGAGGTTTTGCACAGCAATTAACGTAGAGCAACTTCAGATATATCCTTGTCATATCCTTGCTATGTCCTTGTTATCCTAGCCGTATGTGCTGACTAGGCTGAGGCTGTGTTCGCTTTCCGAGTCCCAACTTGTCCCCCTTGCGTCTCACCCACGTTGAAATGTTCTTTTCCCGCCACGTTGACGGTAACAGCTTCGGGGCTTCACCATCATTCTGGATATATCTGTTTTGATATAATGCTCTGTGAGCTGTCTAGAGATGGGTACGTCAGTTAAGCGTGTGTCGGAAGTCAGGGTCGGTGACGCTCAACCACCGGCCTCAAATGAGAAGCTCTCTATGGCAAACACCACACAAGATGATCTGGACATGCAGCGACTGGGCAAGACGCAACAATTAAAGGTTAGTAGTAATGATAGAGCCTATCATATTTCTATTGTGACATGCATTCGGTAAATAAACAGACCGGTAAGACTGATTCTATGCCCTAGAGAAATTTTCGGTTTGTATCTATCCTCGGTTTTAACTGTACGTTAATGGCAACTTGGGAGTCAATTCTGCTCACCAGCAATTATGGTCTCATAAATGGCGGACGAGCCGGGATGGTTTACGTTTATATTGGCACTTTTATCGGCTTTTTCGCCTCTGTCGTGTCCTTAGCAGAGATCGCGTCGAGAGCTCCTACGGCGGGAGGTCAGTACCACTGGGTCAGCGAGTACGCTCCTCCTTCCTGTCAAAGGTTCTTAAGTTATATCACAGGTACGGCGGTACAGTCCCTGTAGGAGCGATAGGCGTTAGACTAACCTCTGCGTAACCTCATCAGGATGGCTCGCAGTTTTGGGTTGGCAGGCAGCGTTCGCCAGTGTATGCTTTCTTGCCGGCACCTTGATTCAGGGTTTGTTGGTCACGGTATACTCTGTCCCAACGGCAGGCTATATATACACATTTGAAAGATGGCATGGCACGCTTTTAGCTATTGCAATTGCGATGATAGCAACTGCCCTCAATGGGTGGGGTACTCATTGGCTCGCCAATCTGGAGCGTTTCTTGCTCTTCGTTCATATCTTTGGATTCTTTGTAGTGTTGATCCCATTGTGGGTTAAAGCCGACAGAGCCAGCAGCACTGAAGTTTTCCAGACTTTTACTAACATGGGCGGATGGCCGAATATTGGATTGGCCTGTCTGGTGGGCCAACTGACCCCGATATTTTCTTTCACGGGGCCAGATGCAGCGACACATATGGGTAAGTATTAATATCCACTCTTTTTACAGCATCACGCAACTAATTATGTTCACCTGCTAGCGGAGGAGGTCCAGGATGCTTCCAGGATTGTTCCGTGGTGTATGATCTCGACTGCCCTGGTCAATGGCACACTTGGATTCGTTATGCTCATTACTTTCCTCTTCACAATGGGCGACATAGACTCAGTGCTAAAAGCGCCCAGCGGCTTTCCCTTCATCACGGCTTTTGAGAATGCGACCGGGTCATCTAATATGGCGGTAGGCCTCGCATGCATTATCTTGGTTATGGAGGTCTGCAGTGCTTTGGGCATCCTAGCGACCACCTCACGCCAGATCTTTGCCTTTGCCCGAGATAAAGCACTTCCTTTCTCGAGCACTTTCGCCTATGTCCATCCCCAGTCGAAGACGCCTATCTGGGCTATTCTATCTTCCACATTGGTGACCGTGCTATTGAGCCTGATCAATATTGGCTCCACTGCAGCTTTCAATGCGATTGCCTCATTGGCGATCGCGTCTATGTTGACGACCTACATCATTGCCATTGGCTGTTTCTTTATAGCACGCTTGCAGTCCAGAACATCGCCTAGTCCTCGGTTCTCTCTAGGCCCATATGGCCCAGCTATCAACATGGTATCCCTGATCTTCCTTGCTTTCCAGATCGTCTTCACCTTTTTCCCGACGACCAGAGATGTTGTGCCCAAAACTATGAACTGGTCGGTTCTAATGGTGGGCGCAGTGACTCTCTTTGCCATCGTGCAGTATGTCCTGTATGCTCGGAAAGTATACCAGGCGCCTGTTAGTCAGACCCTTCGAAATCAGTAATGGTTTCCACCTTGTCATATAATTAATAAAAAAGTAATGCGTAACGAAAGACCAATAAAACTTTGCTTTGATTCTAATCGTGACCGAGATAGGGTAGATAAGGTGGGGAGGAAAAAAAAGAAAAAGGAAAAAGATGTGCATCATCCGTGAATCGAACACGGGCCTCATCGATGGCAACGATGAATTCTACCACTAGACCAATGATGCTAGTTGTTGAAGAAACTTTTTATATTTAATATTATAAGGCAAGGCTAAAAAAAAGTGACTCCTACCAACTTAATCGAGCGCTGTACTTTAGAAGGATCAACACATTAACTTAACTTTGTGGTGAGACATTCCGGATGTAGCTACCCTTACACCAACTCATCTGCATGCAGACTCAGTAACAGTTAGGGTATTTTACTTGTAGCCGGAGAGTCAAAGCGCCAATGCATGGACGTATATATATTTCCCGCATATTGTATATACAGTTTTGTGCTAGTACTAATCTATAGATCCATATGTCGTAGCTCGGCGGGGGATATCAGTGATCTAACACCGACAAAATCTCTACCGCATTCCTGACACAATAACGAAATGTATTGAGATGATCGCTACCAAACTTCCTCTCCATTCTTGGTGTAGGCTCGTCAGCGCCGGCGTAAAAGTCCCCTTCCTCGGGGGTTTACTGAAAGGGCATGTGCTACGGTGTCTTCTATATTATCTTCTGTTATACTATGAACCAGTGAAGGAACGCACACCTGCTATTTCCTGTATCGCCCTCTGCCCCGAGACCTTGCCGGTAGCCCCATGAGCGTTAGTGGTTGGCTTTCTGATTATAACCACAGCGAAACATCTATGGGCCATCTGGCTGGGATGGTTCTGACTACTTTGGGCATGGATATTCTCTGCTTGCCAAAGTGTGCACTACAATAGCTACATGCATATTCCGGAAGCGCAACATGGAAATTGGGATAAGGATACTTTTCCTAGTACTCGGCTATGCCATTCAGGTCTCCTCCACCGCTCGGCTATTGCAGTGGGGCTGTTTAGCGTTTTACTAGCTCTGGGCCAGGTCACTGGAGTTGCCATTGGCTGAGTTGCATTCCAGAATTATGGGGCCGACAAAATACAGCTGAAGAAAGCGCACACTAACAGTATACCCATTATTTAGGCAATCTTCTATGGTGTCTCAGGGGTTTTTCTGATGCTCAGTGCCAGGACTGAGAGCTATGACTTAAATTGTGCGCTGGCTACAAAACAATAATAATATTGGGGACAAGTTATATGTACCAAGGGGGGAGATTAGTCAACAAGATACATGGATGAGTGACCATATTGACCATCGCCAAATGCCAGGAAGACGCCTCCGTAGTGCCGTGTCACTGCTAGGATATACATGACTTGGTATAGGTTCGGCTACTACAGTCAAATAACCTTTTATCAACCGCCGAATCCGGCTAGATACTAAAACGACCTACTCCAGAGTAGATCATATATCTATACGAGATAGGCCAAGCTGATAGTGGTCTGCCTATCCACTAGTCATATAAGCCGCGCGCAGTATATAAGCCGCGTGGGCCACTAGATAGAAGACCCATACTTTCATTTACCCTCAATTTCGACCCTTTCGTTTTAGGCCCTGGTTACTAACCAATACCAAATATTGCCTCTGTGATAACATATTAGGAATCATATAGTTTGGTCGACTATAAAAGAGTATTCAACGCAGCATACGCGAATACTCCTTTCAACAGCTTTCAATAAAACCAGGACGCCTACTTTGTACCTCATTGCGAAGAATATCTGGTCCTAAAACCGTTTACACCCAGGTTTCGTCCTAGACCAAGGCATCATGGAGCCCCTATTACATGGTACTCCTCCGCTGGCGCTCAGAATCAACAATGATGTTCCCTTATCAAAGCGTGTTGTCTCTGTTGTTGGAACGGGCGCCCATTATCCTTCTTATGAGTTCCCATCCGACGAACTTGAGGAGCTGATCTCAGGAGTGCATGATCCTAACGACCCAGCGTGAGAGGATTATGCCAATGTACTAGATGGAACTGTGGGCACTGATATTGTATAACCAGCATACGAAAGACCTTGCACATCAATGAAAAATCAAGAATACAGTGCCGCTATACCGCCGTGCCGTTGGATGATCCCTTCTGGACTGACCCAAAACTACCAGACGTTGCTGACTGCGATGTCCTGTTCAGAAAATATGGTGTCCCAGTCGCAGAAGAGGCAGCGAGGAAAGCACTTGCGGACTGGAATGGTTCTTTAAAGGACATCACCCATCTCGTTGTGGTTACATGTACGAATACAGCCAATCCAGGGCTGGATTACTTGATCTGTGAGAGACTAGGTCTCCACAGAAATGTGCAACGCACTCTGCTTCATGGCGTTGGCTGCGCAGGTGGTGTCTCTGCTCTGCGCACGGCAAACGAACTGCTTCTTGGAGCGGCCTTTCAAGGGAGGCCCGGAAGAGCGCTTGTTGTTGCATGCGAAATTTGTACAATCTTTTTCCGTTCAATGCTCGAGGATATTGTCAAAACACAAGAGGCAAACGTTGCAATGGCGCTCTTTGGTGATGGCGCCAGTGCTATGGTGCTGAGCAATGGGATTTGCACCAAACCCTTTGAGCGAGCTCCTCTTTGGAATATTCTGAACTCTCGCACCACTCTACTGGAGGATTCTCTTTCCAGCCTCCAGTTCAACATCCGCCCTTCTGGTACGCAACTGATAGTCTCATTCTACTCAAAAGTGGACGTTAGCTAACATGCCTGCAGGGTACAATCCAGTGATCACGAAGGATGTCCCCGGACAGACTTCAGCGGCGCTTCCTTCCGGGTTTCAGGACCTTATAGCGTCTACCCCCTCATTATGTTCTGACAAATCTAATTTTGATCCTTCTTCATACGACTGGGCCTTACATCCGGGAGGTTACAGCATCGCTGTCCTCGCACAGAGTGCCCTAGGTATCACTAAACACCATCTGCGAAAGACCTATGATGTTTACCGATTGAGGGGAAACACCAGCTCGAGCACGGTAATCAGCGTGATTAACGAGCTTGCAAAGGAACAAGACACCCCCGAATCTGGACGAGACAAAGTGATTGTCGCAGCCTTTGGGCCCGGTATTACCATGGAAATGGCGGTCATGGCCCGGCCGACCTAACTAGCAGTTTGGCTGAATCATGGTATCTTAAGACTTTTAATGGGGCAGATTATGGAGATTGTGGGATATTCTTCCCCTAACCCACACTAAGCTAGGGAAGACTGCGTCTTCTGACATTCTACAAGCGGACCCTAGTGCAACGAAGAACACAATCCTCATTTCCAGACTTGGTTAAGCAAAGACTGTGATCTAGCAGGTAATCTTGCTCAAAATCCAGATCCAACAAGTGTCGTATCGAACTCACATCGTTGCAAAGTGGGTGAGAACCTTAGTAATATAGAACGCTTTTATATAAAATAAAAAGGATCAAGCAATTTTTGAAAATATCTCCCGTGAAGTCTACCGAATGCTGGACTTGTTTGATCCAGGGATATAATATATGATGATCGGAAATTGTGAACCGTGTTCTATTTCATTACATCCATATTTAAGCAGTCGAATAGGTACTCTGAACGTTCAACAGTGCGATTTCTATGTGATATGTTGATCGGTTTCACACTGAAGTTGTTGTAAAACCGAAATATTATCGAGCGGCGTGGCCTGAGAGGACTTGATAATTTGAAAAAGCAAATTTGACTTTCAAATGGCTGAATATGTATGAGAATTGATCCTAGGCTGATAATGCAAGAATAACACATCGTATTGAGGCACAACAAGCTGATCTGCAGTCATATCTTGCTTCCTCACTGCATTGTTCCAAACTTTGGATAAAGGAGAGTGGTATGCATAATACTTTCAACCCAACACGCTGCTATCGGCCTTGCAAAGGTCGCTAGGCCTCCGTTAAATGGTGGCTTCACAGACTATCGATCGGATTGAATCGAATTATCATAATACCATGCTTCCTGTCGAATCCGATGGCTGCAGTTGAACCTCGGTCAATTGAGACACAGAGCTCATCTTGCTGACAGTTGTCAGGTCGTGGTGACCATTCGATACATTTTGTTCAGCTCCATTGTATAGCACGGGCAATATAGATGCCTTCCACACGCCAACCCCTTCAAGTTGACTGGCCCATACTGTTGCTATATAGAATGCCACAGCAGCAGTAAGAACCAAAGTGGGGAAAATACTCCACAACCAATTAAAGTATATACGGTCTTCAATACCGAACACGGCACCATTTACAGTGTCGGTGCTATTATCAAGAATATCTTTGGTTAAAGACGCAGCAACGTTTTTTGTCACTTCTTCGAAGCCAAGCTCTAGTATCCTGGAGGTAGTGGAACTGGCTTCCTGCTCAAAGTAAATTACTTGCCCAGCATCCTTGAATGTCCATTTCGATTCTGTGGAGTTCCTCGAGCCTGTCCAGTAAGTAGCCCCAGAGAAAATATTCATAGAATCGAGATATAAAGCCAGATATCTCGATTTGAGATCAAAGACACTGTAACAGATCGAGTATTCCGAACCATTCGTAGGTTTAGGGAGGTACACCTCTTGGGTCGATATGTTGCTCAAGGCTCGCTCTGGCGTCCAGCACGTGAGTTCATCATCATCATCAGCTTGCAGATCCACAAAGACGCGCCCCCAGTCTGGCTCGGTGAGGGAAATTGCAGGAGTACCGTGTGAAACCGTAATGTTATAGTTCCTAGCACAAAATGATATGACGCATTTTGTTACATGTTTAATTTTTAGCTGTGTTTCAGGGTAGCGGATACTGTCGTTGATTCCCGTGCCGACATCCAATTCAGCGTGTGCGAAGACCATAGCCTCATTTCTCAAGGAATCATTAAGGCTCCGACCGAACCATGTAACCTGCCATATTATATCTTTCGGTAAGTTAATGCTTGTGCTGATCCCACTGATGGGTACTGTTGACCATTCCCCGTAGGGAAGAGTAACATTGCACGGAATAGGTGTATTTAGGTCTTGTGGGTGTGAGGTGTACGTGCAGTTTACCATTTTTGCAACGGATGTCACATCTTCGCATTTGTTACAGAAGCCAATGGACGTGAACCTATCCCATGTGCAATTTCCAGATGAACAGCTTGGAATTGGGTCGTGATTGTGCCAAAGCCCAGCCTGCACTGCATTGCGAAATCGTTCATCGTACCATATAGGGTTGATGCGGAGCGCTTTCTTGGCCACTGCAGAGCCCCTGGGAATCTGGACATTAACAGTGGAATGTCTTACGATCTGCTGAATTGAAAAATCGAGCGCCAGTGCGAGCACCATGATTGCTGCTCCAATCCAGAGAACAGAGCACTGTTCATGGGTCAGAAGTGTGATGGAACCCCAAGGCCCGCGGCTAGCATCATCGATGGTTTGAATACAACGCAGTCGCCGCTTTTCGGTCTTCCATAACACCCATTTCCATTGCCCGATGGACTGGCTCACTGCATAAAGAAGAGAGCATTTGGATGCTGTTCCTAACACTGAAACAACGGCGTTCAGTGTCACCCGGCCCGAGAAAGTCGGTACTGGTTCCCCGTCAAACGCTCTGACTATAGCAATAATAGCAACAAAACACGCAACGCTAAATATCATTGCGACAGTTTCAGGAAGCCATGTGTCAGTGAGGAGTGAATTCCAGGTGTTTAAATGCTGCTGGAACTTGTTCTGCTGCAAGCTCTGCTCCTCAGGCAGCAATCGATCAGTTGAATCTGGGCTTTCCACCTCTGACACATGCTGACTTGGTTTTGGATCCATCAGTTCCTCAATAAGTGAATCTCGTAGCTCTGCAAGTGGTGGATGGAGGATGTAAAAGTGCGTCGGACTGTGTATTTAGCTATGGCGCAAGTCATTCCTCTTATTTGAGCCCCCGCTATGACGAGGCTTGCAACTATGTCACACCTGTCCAACACCCGCGTTCGAGGAATTATCTGTTGTCGAGCCTTGCAGTATATCACACAGCATATCTCAATCCAGTAAGGGGGATTTGTATAACTAAAAACCCAGGAGTTGTCAGGCGTGGCTTCTGGGCAGTGGTGATACTTATTGGCACACCGTTCCAAAGTTGAATTGTTTCTGTTGATTTGGAATACCTAGACAATTATGTGCGGAGCAATCATTACATGTCAAAGCCTATACTCTCCTCCTTGACCATTGTATTAGCCGATGAGCAAGCACTCTGAAAGCATCAAAGTAAGCCGTCAAGACAATGGCCCCTACGTGTCATGTCATCCTCGGCTTAGGGCATAATTCTATAGGAGCTTTATGTTAGTTGCACAGGAAATACGGAAATATCCAATCCGCTTGGATGTGGTCTCATGTAGTGCAACAGTGTGCCCTAATTCCGCCAGGCAACCTGGCAGTCACCAACAAATCCCACCCACGATATTTATAGCCAGTGTCACTGTGTTATTGCGGCTGATGGACTCTAACCTAAATTGTTCAATGAAAACGGGGTAATCTGACTGACCGACAAACAATATAGAAATGGCGAATGCACTAGACATACCCGCCGAGACACACATGCAACCCTCTACGTTCAGCGGCAAGCACCATGTGTATCAAGCGTTCCTCGATGGTGGACCGAATTGGAGACATAATTCGTTCACGACCTGGTAGAATACCGGCGCTAAAAGCAAGCCGAGAGGAAGCTCCCTTGTCACCTAATTTCAATTTGTGCCCCGGTTGGCTAATACAGTTGGCGTCCGTAAGACCCTACCTAGCCTTACCCTGGTAGCCTGGAGGTGTGTCTGCTGGTTGAAAACAGCATGGTGGCATCCTCCTATGTAGGATTATTGGCTGTGATAGAGAATTCCATCCATCCTAATCACTCAGAACAGGGTTCTGTCATAGGGAAAGCTGACTTAGTCAAAAGAGAACTACCTATTTACCCAGGAAATAAGGAAATCAAGATCGAGTCTGGGAGGCGTGCGTTGGGCTCAGTATCAATTACAATAAAGGGGAATGACTTCATCCTGTACCCTAGTATAATCAACCCCGCTGCTAGAGTGTCTAAACCGCCTGTGTCACCGAGTGACCTCAAAGACCGCTCTGGACCAGTCGCTTGTCACCTTCTCAAAAGATTCTGTACGCCAATGTCTCTGGCTAGAATATGTCCAACAACATTAGGATGGTCCAGTTGTTGAACCGGCCTTTGGTACAAGTTCCTGTTCTTATCTACACAATTCTCATTATATATTGGTCGCCTCCAAATACTCGGTATGTCGGGATAGACTATTACCAAACACACGGGGTTATGTACATCTAGTGCAGAATGAGATAGTTGGGGTATGTAGTACAGATTGCAGTTTCGCCTGGAGCCCATGGATGGAGGTTCCCTGACAATGTCCACGTCAAGGCCCTCCGATAGTGTGTATCCAATTCTGCTACAGGCAAGAGTTTGGTACGTGTCTGGCAACTATGAATGCAATCCAGATATATGGCCTACAAATATGTGACCTATGTCCTGAGATCAAGAACCATTAATGAGCTTGTACAGCTATACAATTGTGAGAGACCGAATATCCACCAGACTCATCTTGGGCGACAACGCGGATTTTTGTTTAATCTGAAATGGCAGCTTCAAGTGTTTGGTCCTGTTTCTTGGTGTTCAATCTAGAGATGGAATGCCTCACTCGCCGGAAGACGAAAACTCGGATCTCTCATGACTTCGTTACTGTGGAATAAAGTGCCGACCAGGCTTGATTCACCTGTCATCGAGAAATCCCTAATATTGAGACCCACCTGTCGTTGCTGCTAGCAATACTCACATGATGAACTAAGCTGAAGGAGTATGTGCTCTTGGATATGGTCATTTATTTTGGGGCCGAAAAGCTTCTTGGGCCCTTTTTTTGACACCGGCGAGCGGTCCTCTGCAGAATTAGTGGCTGAGATGGATCGCTATGTTTCCAGCAAATACACGAGTCGAAGACTGGCTAGCCCGGCTGCCTTGGCCTCGAAGGCGCTGGGTATCCAGTGACGAAGGTTGGTCGAAGACAGAAACCTCGGGTGGCTCGATGGGCAGTATATTGTACTAATATCCGGCGTACGATGGCCACGATTCCCAGGACTCTTTTCTATAACCGTGTTTTCTTTATCCCTCCGTCGAAAAGCATGGCAATCTACATCCCGTCAAGCACGCACGCTATGATTGGCGGGATGCAGTGGACTTTCCAATGAGGAAGGCTATACATAGTGCATCTGACACATCGCTTATCTTTTGTTTATTAACTAAAATGCAGGGGTCTTCTTAAACTCATTCTGATAGGGTTCAATTGACCATCCATTCTCGACGGCGGCGCTTGCGCGGACTAGCCCGTAGGCCGGCGGCTTGGCTATCCCCTTAGCAGCGAACCATCACCAATCATCTGAGCCCTAGACTGACACCGAGTCTCTCCTAAGACAATCTTCAACACCACCAATGCAGTCACCCTGCAGGTGCTAGTTTTGGGCGGTTATTCCCAAACAGACCGCACGATTACGCCTAGGAGCCGACAAGACTCGAAGCGCCTAGGCATTCAATCCCCTCTCTCGCCGGTTTATCACGCGAACTATCTTCCTTCTCACTCTCTCCGCTCCTGTGAGCCACCATGAACGGTCGCAGGCTCCCCAGCGCATTCTTGCGCATATGTCTGATCATTCTACTATGCGGGACAGAGATAGTTGTCGGACAGGGAGATGGGACAAGTAACAACAGATTTATCAATCCGCCGGCCGCCAATTCAGCTGAAAATCCCGTCTGGGTCCTGGGGGAGCAGCAAGTGATCTCTTGGATGACAACGTGGACTACGTTCAACATCTCTATTTGGCATCAGTCGCTCGGTAAGGAAATGGCAGCAAGTTTGGGGAATATCTATAGTAAGTTTTCCTGTCTTGCTGTTCATGGTTCTCCTTGCAAGGGCGCTGAGTCGCACTGACATGAAGATGAAATATGAAGCTCAAGTTGAAGACATCGGGGTCACAAATTTCACTTGGAAGGTACAAACGTACGGCGCCAGCATTGAAGACTCGCCGATCTTCTTTTTCTGGATCAACGCCAATCCAACAAGTCCTGGCTTCAGACTGACATCGAATTATTTTAATATAACCGACAAACCGCGTTCCACGAGTACGTCGACTTCGTATACAGCAACTTCTACCGAACTACAATCAACAAGCTCGTCGACAACAAGCACCACATCTTCTGCTCCGACCGAGACCTCAGCCACCGAGACCCCCCAAGCATCGTCGTCCTCTCAATCTGGCCTCGATCCGTCCGCCAAAGTAGGACTTGGTGTTGGAGTGGGCATCGGGGTCCCTGCGAATGCACTGCTTGCGGTGCTTACCTGGCTGAAATATCGCCAGTCTCAGTCGCGAAAGAGGTCGATACCAGTGACACAACCAACCTTTGCGCATATGCCACCACCATGGACCCAACCTCCTCTCCCACCAGCACCACCTAAAGAGTTACCTGGATCGGAGGTCACAGAGTGGCGTTCGGAATTACCGGACCGTTCATACTAGCCAGCACATTTGCTTGTCTCAAAACATACCGGGAATATTCAATGATTCATGACCCTTGTGTGCTATATTTCTACCTGACATACCTTTTCTGCGATGATACTCTGTTATAAACACTTGTACATACATCTTTTTATTTCCTACGGATCTGTATAGCATAATATTATATACCGACTGAGCTACTAACTTGCTTTCCGCTACAGATATTTCGATAAGCTCCCTGTACTATTCCGCAGCCAACCGCGAGTACGGGTCACCGATCGGCTGCTGTTATTCTTCTCGCTAAGATCACAAGTTCTTTCGAGCTCATTGGCATACATAAGAACCATGATGAAACCCGCGAACGTGGCAACTATAGCCACTATGAATTTTGGAAAATGTCATTCCCTGGTAACGGATTCCAGATCCGTAATATTCCTTGTGTATCCCTATTAATGACCAGTCGTCCCTTGCCGCTCTGCCAGTACCCGCGGATCTTGGGAGTCCAGCTCCTGCGGTGGCTGATTCTGGGGCTGGTAGAGCAGGTTCGATGTGCAGATAAATCCGTCCTAACAGCAGACGCTGACCGAGGCCGTTGCATTACAAGGTAGATTATTCGAGATTGTGCCATCGGGTGTGGAGCAGAGCGTAACCGAGGTGAGCTCGACTGCCTGCAGGAAGAGAAGATATGCCGTGATATGTAGCAGACCCAGGAATCTGGTGCGTGTTGAATTCCAAGGTTGTCACAGCATCATGACTTGGCCAGTAAGGGGGTATCTCGAGACTTTTCAGGAGAGAAGCTTCCAAGTGATGATGGGGGCCATTCGAAAAACAAGTTGCAAGCCAACAGCGCTAACTTGGATCCTAGCTGAAATCTAAAACCAGCAACGGCGCTAAGATGGTACTTTTGCACCGCTAGCTTGATCATCGGTCTTCCGACGGGCAAGGCTGATTCCGTACCGGTATTAAACGCATTTAACTCTGTCCCTAATATCCCTTACCCCAATGTAGCCATTGTGATAACCATCAAATTCCCTCCTATATAAAACCAGAGCAATACATTAACTAGTCGTCTCCTGAACCTCCCCTAACACCACCGCCTTGAACTTCGTCGGATCCAAAAACTTCTCCTCATCAGCATCCACCAATTCCTTCGTCCCAGGCTCCTGTCTCCGCGCAGTGAAGACCTTACACGCCGCCTCATCCCTAAACGTCACCTCCACAACCACATCGAAGGTGAAATCCTCCTGTGCGCCAATCAGCACCGTCGCCGGAAAGCT